AGTATTTGAATCCCATATATCTTTCCCGTCATAATTCATCTGAGTCTCTTTTTTGCTCTGAATTTGAAGGTTTTCTTCCATCGAATCTGATCCAACTTTATCATTGGAACTTTTGATCAAACCTTCGCTCTTAGTGTGCTCCAAAACATCACAAGAATTCCGAGTCACTACAAAACTATCAAAACTTTTCTTATGAAACTTCAAACCACAGTAAGAACACTTCAAGTTCTGTTCATTTTCATCTTCCCCGTCGCTCTGTTTCACTTGGCATTGGAAATCCAGATGAGATGAAAAACAATCTTCACATAATTCTTTGATTTCTGCCAATTTTTTTGTGATTTGGGCAGAAGCCCAAGATGGAAACCTCTTTGGAATGTAGTTCGTAGAGAAGATCGCAGTGGGAATTGTTGTTTTTGGGTTCTAAGAAACGATGGAGGGTAGAACACCACAAACAGGGTGGCTTTAGGGCAAAGAATTGGGAAAATTTGATGATGAGAAAAGAGAAGAGAGAGTTGAGGAGGAGGAGGAGAAGTATGAGCGTCCATTCAAGAACAACATAAATGAGAATGAGTGTGATGTTGTTTGTATTCGTGTGCTACATGGTTGCAAATTTGTTGGCTGCCATGGCTGTTGCTACTCTGTTTTTCTTGTGAGTATTTACACACACACACACAGAGGTGGGACCCTTGCATATTAAATTTTATTTATTTATTTATTTAAAAAAAAAGTAATTGAAAACCTCATAAATGGTACCTGTGTAGTGAAATGCCAAAAATGCCCCTGACTTAACGGCTAAATGGTAACAGAGTTAGCCGGAAGGACCAAATGTTAAAAGTTTTGAAACCACAGGGATCACCTGTGAGGTTTTTTGAACTTAGGGACTAAACTTGATGTTTTCGAAAACCACAAGGACCATCTTTGAAGTTTTGTCAAAAGTTAATTTACTTGTTCAAATAAAATCAAGTCTACACCATGTATATGTTTTATCATTGTTATTATTATAATTTATACATATTTACATACGTACCACAAAAACAAGAGTTACCTCTTTGTCCAATGTAGCAACATATATAGTCATGCATGTCAACCAGCTTCTCTTATAAACTATATGAAAATCCTGCCGAAAACAATATAAAATTTCCAAATCATAAACCCTAAACCCTAACAAATATCCTTTTTTGTCTTACTATAAGGTGTTTTCAAATATCAAGATTGAAATCTTGTTTCGTTTTTATTTTATGAACTTAATCTGGTAAACTATATACGAGTGTTTCTTTTTGCCTTAAGTCCCAACTGTTTATTACAAATTTGCCCTCAACTATCTTCTCCTTCTATCTTCCTAAGTGTACACTCATTTTCTCAGATACTTTTTAAAATATTATTTATCCAAAAAAATTAAAAATTAAAAAATTACAAACCTATCTTGCGAGAGTTAACTGGAAGGTCTTGAGTTACAGGATTCTTGATCACACACATAAGCTTTTCCCGTTTTCCAACAACATAAATACGTAGCTTTTGAAGTAATTGCACTGAAATATATCAAGAAAATCAAATATGCCAAAACACCCTTGATTAAAACCAAGAAAAGAGAGAGAGTGATCAAGACACTGAAAAAGGGAAACGTGCATCATATCATAAGGATTCTGATATATGACAAAACAGAACAGATCGTACTCTGTTTGACATGCATTTGACTTAGAGCCTTGCTAAAATAACTTAAATACTAGAGAAAATTTGGACTCAACAAAGGAAGAAATTTTCAGAGAGAATGGGACTTGGAGGTGAGAGCAAATGGTTGAAGATTCAGGTTCTAAATATAGGAATTCACGAAGCGCGCTGTGCCTAAGGCAAGTGTGTCCCGTTTTGTGTTGTGTCACGTTTCGAAATCCTTGTGGTATGCGTTGCGCCTTCTAGAACATTGCCATGTGTCTCATTCTCGTTTTTCCACGTCATCACATCAAGTATTTTCTTGAAATCTGCAAACGGCATAGCTTTCGCATATAAGCTCCGTTGATGTTCTTTATATCCCTGGAATCCTGTCGGCGAGCTCTAAAAATTCCCTTTAGACCTCAACAACTAATTATTACTCTATTTTAAATTCATATTTTTATAGAGATTGGATTGTTAAAGTCCGTGCAAAAATTATAACTGTTTCATATGAATTCCGTTCTCAACTGTCTTTATATCGAAGGATTCGTTTTCACAAGGTCTTCAATTATCATTTAAACTTTTTTGGCTAACAATCAATTGATTTTAATTTCGATTTATGTGTCGCACATTGTTGTACTAAAACTTCAAAAAATCATATATTCCTCATACAAAGTCAGATTTGGGCTTTTTTTTTATATTTACGCTCTCATTTTTACGATTACTATGACTTTCGTTTAGATTACTTAGGCTAATAAGCAATCTATCCCTGATTCACTTTTTATGGCATACATAGTTGTTTCGAGTTGATCATGAAACTTCAAAGAAGCATAACTTCTTCATACGAAGTCGGATTTAAGCGCTCCCTATACTCACGGGATCTTCATTACGACTACTACATCTTTAAAATGTTATTTGTCACTCGTAACACATACGGCGAATAGTTATCCTATTCGAGGATTTTATTTTTAAGTAATTATCACTTGTTATATTTTAATGTCTAACCCAAATTTGTGGGCATTACAAAAATGGCCCTGGTTAATCCATCGGTTCTAAATTCATTGAATATGGGCCATATTAAAACATATAATAACGAGGTTGAATCAAAAGAAAACCATGTACCTATCCAGAAACATCTATAGAGGTTGAAAATGGATATACAAACTTTTATTATGCTCTTCATTTGGATATGTAAAGTGTAGACAACATTCGAAGAAACATCACTTCTCCAAGCCTCATGTGTCTTTATTATCTAGAATTATAATTGATGTGGTGATTATTTTATGGTGACTTAATAATAAGTTGGGTTGCTACCAATTGTACATTTATTTATTATTGTGTTTCATTTTGCATGTTTGGAACCCACTTCCTGAGTATTAATTAACTCAAACCTCCACGTTCGGTCATGCTTTTGGAAGTAGTGATTTAAGATTGTCATAGAGTGTTAGTAGATTCTCTATAGTGATTAGGCATAGAATAGAGATTCGGCGTAGCATAGAGATTGCAACTAGCACTCATGAGTACTTAATAGAGATTTAAGTATTGGAACAACCCGGACTTAGAGATTACTTTATGGATATAGTCACGAGTAATTTTAAAATGATAATATCTCTTATTCTTCAAACCGAGATACATGTGAGTTTTACTTTACAAGTATGTTGTGCATTGGTATGCTCCAATGTTGTTGTAATTTGTAGTTATATTATATAGAGTATGTCCATGTATGATATGATGAGTAGACAAAAACTACGTAGTCAAAGTTGATTTGTTCCTTCTACCCTAATAGGAGGACCGATATCTATGGGTCTCTCATTGATTTGGTGTTGACATCTAAAGTGCTTGAAATTGTTGTGTTCAATTTAGTAATCTTATGTACTCGTCACAAATCTTTATTGGGGAACGTAATCTTGAACACTGAGATTGACCCTTATCTATCTCTCAAGTTCATATAGATATCTTTTAGAACAAAGGAAGTGTTGCTCACTTACCCAAGGGTTAAATCTTGATTAGATCCAAGTCTGACAGATGCATCAGATAGCAAACTGTATGTTGACTATTGAAGAAGTATTAGATCTCATATAGTTGATGACCTATCCAAGTGGGTGCTGTTGGAAAGAGTGCCTAAGGTCATTAACTATTTATAATACTTCTAATAATAGCAGAGTTATTTTTGAGTTTCCCTCATGACCCGTTTGAGCAGAAAAGAATTCAGGAGAAATTAGTTTATTAATTTGTCATGGCTTGATAAATTAATTTGAAATGGCTTGATAAATTAACTAGAAATTGTTTTGGAATTAATTAATTCAAGATGTTGAATATTAATTAATTAAAAGTTAGTTAATTAGAGTATTCTAGAATCTCCAAGGGATAAGGAGGTGGAAATTTTTATGGGCTTATCCCATAAGGTCTGAGTTTTTTTTGGGGCTAAGCAATTGCAACCTATAAATAAGGTGCTAGGGATCAAACCATTTTGTTCATCCCTTGGCTTTTTATTTTGGCTTTCTATCATTTCTCCCTTAAGGACAATTTCTTAACCCTCTCTAGGGTTTGTAGAACTTGATCATTTCTTGTAGTTATTTTTGTTCTGCTCTTTGATGTTCTTGGGTGTGAACCAAAAGAAGAATTTTAGTTTGGGTGATTTCATCCAAACAAGGTGATAAGAACAAGAACTCAAGCAAGGAGATCATTAGCATCAAAAAGGATGTATGTATTTCTATATTTTCTTTAGTAGTAACACTAATAGCATGAAACTTGGATCTTCTAGGTTACACGAACATATAGGAATATTTGTTTGTTTCCGTTGCACAATATCATGTGTTTAGATGTAGAAAACCTATAAGTTATTCGCTACTGGTGTTGCAGAAGTATAACATATAAGTATGTCACGTAGTAAGTGTGTGTTAGGGATACATGTAAAGCTTATTATAGATGTATAGTCTGGCGGTTTTGTGTGTGGTGATTTCCTTCAGTAAAGTATCGTTGTACACACCTTAATAAGGGTACCACATAAGATGAGGGTTGGTTATGTGAGTAAGAGGTACATATTTAATTTTATATGGTGTACTCACTATTGGATTTTTGATTATTTAACAATATATAACCTCAACTTAATGTACGTTGACACTATTAACCCCATACAAAAGGCTACCCCACAAGATGAGAGGTAGTTGCAAGATGATGGAACTGTGTTGTTTGTGCATGAAGGCATCATTGAGGTTGTTTTATATATTATATAGTTCAACAATCCTTATTAGATTATTATTGACTTACTATAAACATTCATAAACCAAGTTTAAATGAAACTATAATTTGACATTATGATGATCCAAAAGTAACAAGTTTTAAACTGATATCAAGCAAAACCATCAGAAAACTTGAAGCAAACTTGGCATCTTTCGGATTCTACACTCAAAAATTATATATTCTTTTCACGTTTTCTCAAGTCAAGAGCCACATCAAAATGACCAAATTATCCTCAAATTGATGACAAAGAAATATCCATTTTGCTAATAATTTATGAATATCAATCCCTAGTACAAAACGTACAAAAAAGAAGTGTTCATAGAATCTTGTTTTTGCGCTCTAATGCATTTGTGATTCTTGTAATGCAATATGCTGCACTCAATGGATACCCAGAAACTGCAAAAAAAAACAAAGTCATTTGTCAAAAACTCAAAATATATACCCTTTTTCTTTTATATATTTTAACTACGAGATAATGTCAATCGATGCTTTTTATACTATATTCTATTTTCAAAACCTAAAAAGATTAAAACAAAAAAAAAATGCATATAGAATGAACTTACTTGAAATAAAATCCTCTACGAAGTCATTTTCGATTTTCCCATGGGCCATAGCTCCAACCTAAGCATAATCAAGTTAAAATCCATGTATATGTTTTATTATTATTATTATAATTTATACATATATTTACATACATACCACAAAAACAAGAGTTGCATCTTTGTCCAATGTAGCAACATAGTCATGCATGTCAACCAGCTTCTCAGAACTATGCGAAAATCCTGCCCAAAAACAATACAAAAATTACAAATTTGCCCTCAAACTATCTTTTCCTCCATATCCCTAAGTGTACTTTCATTTTCTCATATATATTTTAAAAAATATCATTTATCCAAAAAGGAAATTACAAACCTATCTTGCGAGAGTTGACTGGAAGATATTGAGTTACAGGATTCTTGATCACACGCATAAGTTTTTCCCGTTTTCCAACAGCAGAAATACTTAGTTTTTGAAGTAATTGCACTGAAATATATCAATAAAATCAAATATGACTAAAATACCCTTGATTAAATACCCTTGAAAAAGGGAAGCATGCATCATATCATAAAGATTCTGACACATGACAAAACAGAACAGATTGTGATTGTACTCTGTTATGAATTGGACTTAGATGTCAATGATGCAAAAGACGTAAATGCCCTTTACATCAGTATGATTGAAAAGAGTGAACTTACACATGATTCCAGCGAATCTTTTAAAGGTTCTTGGAATACGAACATGAGGTTTGATTTCAAAAAGAACATTCTTTTCTGTTCTTACATATAAAGCTCTTAGTTTACCAGCTTTATTCAATGGGCTATCTAAGATATTCAATATTGCCTGCATCAAAAACAAGTAAAATGTTTTAAACAATTCCAAGATGGTGGAGATTAAGGATCACTAACCTGATGAGAAATGTCAGGTCTGTAATCAGCTGGATTTCGGTTGTTTTTCCTCAAAAAGTTAGCATGATCTTCTGAGTTCAACAATTGATAACTCTAAAAACACGAATTCGATAAAGTACATCAATACACATGTAATCTTGTAATTTTAATGGAATAAGGACGATGACATAACAATTAATCATAAACAATTTGAATCAGAATCAAGAGAACTAACCTTCCCAACTTTTGCAACTTCCAAAGAAGCTTTCTCGAGGATAAAAATAACACCGGGACTGTTCTTGTCGTTGCCCTGTTGTTCGTTCAAGTTCACAGGAATACCTGAAAGTTCTTGAGCCGCTTCTTCTGCTTTCTCCTCATCGGATTCTGTAGCTCCACCCTTCAATTTCTTCTGAATCCCCTCTTTTTCCCCTTCTTCTTCTTCTTCGACAAACCCCATATTTTCTTCTTCGTCTTCTTCTTTATCGTACCTTTCTTTGTTCTTCTTCCTCTTACGACCTTTAATTGCATATGGTCTCACCATCTTCTATGATTCAGTAAGTGCGATATCTCTGTTCTACAGTAATTGGTGTTCAAATTTGTATCAAATTTTCAATTGAGAATGGAAAAAGCATGTAATTAAGCAAACCATATGCATAACTAACGAAAGAATTAGGGGAAATTACCTTTAGAGCTAACGAGCAGTAGAGATTGAGGCTTGTGGCGGCTGCGGGGTTTAACCAGCGTCTGAACAAGGAAGAGAGGTTTTTGATGGATTTGATAATGCGAGTAAATTTCGTTACACCCCCTGAGGTTTATCTTATTCTTTAATTGATCCCCATACTCTTATTCTTTAAAGCAAATAAACTTAGGGGGTGTTTGGGGTATATTTTCAGAGGTAAAAAGACTTTTGGTAAAAGTTTTAAAAAGTTAGGTTTTCTGATTTATCCAAAAAGTCATTTTTCCTTCTATAAAAAATAAAAAATAAGCTTTTACCAAACATCTTTTCTTTTTTATCTTTTTCCAAAAGTCATTTTACCCTCTCAAAAGATATCCCAAACACCCCCTTATTTCGACTTATGAATTATGATGTTTCAAAATAGGTTGCGAACAACAAACTCTATGATGTTCGATTTATATTTTGATTGTTTTTTTAGTTTTTAAGGCCAGATTATTTAGATTTGGAGAATGAAGTAACGAGTTATTATGATTTTTTTTTCTTTCTAAATTATATGTAAGAGTAAAACTTTGATTTTGATATTTTTTGAAAAAATATCTCAACATCAACATATCTCAAACCTTGTAGTATGGTAGTAAAAACAAAATTAAATGTTGGCATACATATCTCTATCTACGATGACTTATAATACAAAACTACAAACACAAAGAGTGTAATCTTATATGTACATCGGAAGTTAGAAATCATATATTGAAGGTAAAGCTCATATAAGCAATAAAGCTCAAAACTTCTACAATTAATAACATAGAGAAAAGGGTAATGCCATCAAGAGGTAACATGTAAATATTGCTAAAGAAGCACGCAATAAAGCTCAAAACTTCTACAATTAATAGCATGGAGAAAAGGGTAATGCAATCAAAGAGGTAACATGTAAATATTGCTAAAGATGCACTCATATAAGTAAGAAGAATGACTTAAAGGTGCACGGTATGTAGCTTAAATTTGGTAGTGATGCCAAAGGTACTATAGGTACCTCCATTCACACGGTTTCGTGGAGGACGAGTTCAAAATGGTGCAGGTTCCGTGGGTTCACCAAAGTTTTGAGCTCAAACCCTCTTTATCTCTATGTATGCTTCATAGCTAGTACATCCATATGTTTTAGTACTTGTACATTAGGAGTGGGCTGGAAAATATGAAAGAGAGAAGAAAAAAAAAATTATGTGACGTCTATGCAGTAAAACTGTTAGAAGGGTTGGGAGGGAGTGACTCCCTCCACCTTGAGCAGTGGCGCACGCAGAAAGTTGTCACAGCAGTGACAATTTTTGTTCGTCTGAATGTAATAACATAAAAAAGTTAAAAGTACTAGTACATCAAATCGATCCATTACATCTTAATATCTAAATTTGACATCTACAGGTACACATTTTTTGAAACCGATCCATTACATCTTCGATCTTCACTTTCATAAGTGCTTCTTTTTCAACATAAGAAATCATGACATCGTTTAAAAAATATCACCTATTTTGTTACGCAAATCCGTCTTTAAAAACTTCATCGTTGAAAAACATCTTTCAACAACGGTTACAACGGGTAAAACCAAAACCAACTTCAACAACCTATAAACCATAGGATAAGACCGATGTTTCCCCGTTTCCACCATCAAACGAGAAAGGTCGGAAATTTCTTGCAAACTAGTGAACCGGTCATATTTATGCAAAACGTGATAATATATTTCAAGTTCACCATCAAGTTGTATCCTCTCCGCATCATCAAAATCTTTTGTGTATAACTCACTCAACTTTAACAACTTTGTTTTGTTAAATTTAGAAAATGAATCACAAGGACTCAAAGTCCCCATGTATTCTAGTAATTGGGTGCTAAGTTCACTAAATCGGTCCCCGAATTCTATAATTTGCATATCCATGACGGTGTTGAAAATTTCAACTTTAAAATGAAATTGATTAGTAACTTTAGTCTTACGGCCTTTTGATGTGACATAATTTTTCTTCATCTCCACAATATTAATATCATGTTTTTGACAAAAAGAGAATACATTCGATAAAAGTTTAGCAAACCCTGTGTCTCTTAAAGACTTCAATGCGTCCATTGTCCCTCTAACCAAAGAAGCCGCTTCTAAAATATCTTGATCCTTTTTTGAAGATTCTTTAACAATACGTTCTTGAGGTGTAAAATTTCATACGTCAAATGTAAGTAAAACATGAAATCTAATGTCTTGAAATATTTTAAGATACCAAATGCTTGATTTCGGTTACTTAAAGTGGATCCTTCCTCTTCGACATAAGCAAGAACATGAGGAACCTCCGAAAATAAGTTCATCGAACTTGTGATGGTTTTGAAATGTGAACCCCATTAAATGCACATAATACGCTGAATCATTATATTGTAAAATCAAAGCTTTTAGACCATTAAATGCACCACGCATATTGCTTGCCCCATCGTAACCTTGTCCTCTTACCAGATAAAAAAAGATATTAAACATTAAAGCGAATAATATTCAATTAAAATTCATAATAAGGAAGAAAAAATGTTATATTTACTTGAGACATACTCAAACTGTTACGGGTAAAAACGTCATCTATGGCTGCTTTAAGAGTCAAAGAGGATGTATCCTTCACGTGCACCACTCCAATGAATCTTTCCTTCACCACTCCACAGTTGTCGACATACCTCAAAACTATGACCATTTGTTCTTTTTTTGATACATCACTCGATTCATCAACCAATAAAGAAAACACATCTTTACCAATTTCTTTGCAAATTTCTAAAATTATCTCTGTTGAAAAGCATTCAATAATTTGCTTTTGAGTCCTCGGGCACGTCACTTGATTATTTTGAGGAGCATTTTCTAAGGTAACATTGCGAAGGCCTTCATTATGGTCTCTCAAGAAAGATAATAAATCCAAGAAAAGCCCTCTATTAAGAGAGTCACTTGACTCATCATGACCCCGAAATGGTAAACCATTTTTCAATAAAAATTTACAACACCAAACTGAAGCACCTAAACGAAGTTTATAATTACTCTCCTCAATCTTGGTTTGCTTGTTGAAGGCTGCACTAATAGATTGTTTTGCTTTCAATAAAAATTCACAATTTTCTTTTGCTTTGTGATGAAAACTATCAATACCACCCATATGATCTCTTAATGATTGTCTTTTATTCCAACTATCAAAACCTTGTGAAACAAATGTATCTCTCCCATGTTGTTTTCCCACCATGTCTCCACATACATATCAAAATAAACAAAATGCTTTGTTCTCTTTTATGCTATATTCTAACCAATCAAAGTCATCAAACCACTTAACGACAAAACGTCTTTCTTTTGAACCTATTTTCTTTGAAGGGAATATATGACCCCTTGGTTGACAAGGCCCTTGAAGCAAATATGCCCTCCATATTTCATCTCTTTGATTTGGATGGTAAGTTGTAATCTTTGGTCATACACCTGGGTCTTTTGGAAGATCTTTCAATTCAACATTTGTAATTGGAGTAGTTGTAGGTTGTGGATTTACATTAGAAACCGAAGGGAATGATTGATTAGAAGGATATGGACTTTTAGAGGATTCTTTAAAACTTAAATCATTGGAGCATGTTCTTTTGGAGGATTCTCCAACACTTGATTATTGATGCTTGTTCTTCCAAAAAAAGACCCAATTTTATCCTAACAATTCAATATCAAACAAATAAGGCATCCAAGATTCCAAGTAATTTCAAGTAATTTCAAGGTTAACAAATAACAACTAATAATTTCAAGTAAACAAGTAATTTCAAGGTTAACAACTACTAATTTCACCTAAACAATAAGAAATTTCAACAAAAAAGCAACTAATTTTACTAATTTCATAAACCTAAAATTATCAATACTTACTTGTTTCATTGTATTTGTAGGATTGAAAGGAGTGCCAAACCAAGCCAAACAAAATCGAATGGTTGAACACTTGAATGGTTGAAATCGATTGAAAGAAGCAAGTCCCAATGTACGGTTTCTTTTTCTTTGTTGACAACCTTCACTTCACAGTGTTGTTGTTTTTTTTTTTTGTTTTTTTTTTGTTTTTTTTTTTTTTTTTTTTTTTTTTTTTTTTTTTTTTTTTTTTTTTTTTTTCTGTAATCTCGTTCGTCCAGGGGACCAGGCCAGCACTCCAATTTCTTTTCTTCAAAAAATGCCGATGGACACCTAATAGAGATTTGGGGTATTGAGCTAATTCTATTGGGTTAAAAACTTGATAAGCAACTTGGGCTACAAACTCAAAATGCATTTGGGCTAATTCTAAATTGAGGTATTGGGCTAATTTTCTTTATTTGTTGGACTAACATTTTTATACTTTTATTTTTTGGGCCTCAAATTCTCGAAAGTATAGTGTCACCCGAACGAATTTGAAGCCGGTGCACCTAATAGAATTTTTTTTACCCTAACGGACCGAAGCGGAGCAGTGGCCCGGGACCCCCGGGCACCACACACATCCGCCATTAACCTTGAGCTTCACGCTATTTTTATAAGGTCATGTCTTCACGAAGAAATCTTGTGGCAGAGCTAAATGAAGGTTATGGCTCACAAACACTTTTGCCTTCAAACTACTAGTTGATTATAAAGTCATTAAGAAACCTAGCAAAGACTAAACCCTAATCTAGCACAAGTGAATCTATATTTCACTCCCTGTGGCTTTGTATCCTCTATAGCCTTTAGGGATTGTTTATAAGGTAACAACTTAGCATGGATTAAAACCTAAGTTAGTTTAGGTTAGTATAATTCAAGTTTTAGCAAAAGGTTAAAGTTTAAAACATAAATAAGCACCATATATTGGTGAATTCGGTCATGGAAATGAATTGAATAATGAAATCAATTTTGGGAATCTTTTCCCTAATGTGTTTTCGGCCATAACATTCAACAAAGAAGGAATTCGGTCTTGGCATGACCGAATTCTCACCAAAATGGCCCATTAAGGACCGAATTCCCCAAAGCCTAAGCCCTTATGACCGAATTCCCTAAGCCTATATATTTATGTTCAACCGAATTCAACCTCATTTCCCATTTTTTCACACTGAATCATTACCATTTTTTCTCTCAAAACTCATAAGTTTTTACCCAGAAGATCTTCAACTCTTTATAAATCCACCAAGAACACCAAGAACATTCAACAAGATCTTTAAGTCTTCAATCCTTGACCGAAAACCCAAAACCCCCACCGAAAACTCTATTTGTTCACTGAAAACCCATTTCGACATTTCAAAAAATTATTTTAAGTATTTATTACATAATTAAAGTGTTTTTAACACTTTAATTATTACTTACTATATTATTTAAATAATATCTTATTAATTTAAATGCGACGTCGGGGTTAATGATTTTTAGGATACGACTACTGTGACGTATTCTAATCCAAGGATCACTGTTAGCACTTCGCAACTCAACCGATCACACACATTCAATGTGAGTTCATACCCCTACATTTTCACTATTTTAATATTTTCAGGGGGATACAAGTAAAACATAAAGACTTTTGTGCTTTTATACAAACGATTTCAAACAAATTAAAAACTTTTGCAATTGATACAAACCGAGTAATCACTACGTTTTATGAAAATATTTAGATATTTTTAACCCTTTTGTAATATGTCGAGCATAAGGGTAATTTCCAACATATCGGCAAAATTACAAAGTGTTTAGTCTAGTACCTAACGTACATTTATACTATAGTTGATATAGTGTGGGAAAATCACATTACTTTTACAGAATCCAATACACGAAACAAGAATATACATTTAAACTATAATAGATATAGTTTGGGATACATTACACTGTTTTACTATTTCATAGAACATTATACAGAAACGAACATATAGACTATGGTAGATATAGTTTATGGTAAACAATACGATTTTTCCGAATACAATAGTACAATATTAAATAATTATTTAGTATAATTATTTTATATTACAAAGTGCATCACTACAGGATAATACAAATGGTTACTAATACAAGTGAACACTATAACACTACACGTAAACTAGTTAATACAGGGTTGTGAGACATTACTTCATTGTACCCACCAGGGTACATGTTCAAATCCTACAAATTATAACCAGAGTCTCCTGGAGAGAGAGTGTGAGTTTGTGTATAGATATATACGGGACTGACAATTCCGCACCTGACAAGCTTGCAACAGTTAGGCCGGCAGGCCTGGGGTAACAAACGTCATTAATGTTGCGACGTTTGACGAACGTCGTAGAGGTCACTAGTCAATTAATATGGTTATATGAAACTCACAATAGTATCAACTAAACGATGTTTACGAGATTAATACTACTTCATGGGTTTTATCCTAATAATAAGACCACACGGTTTTAAAAGTAACATGAGCATACAAATCAAAAGGGACCTACAATGTTAACACTATGAATTATTGGCTTATATGTCAAAGGTTATTTATAACTATAGGGTTTGATGGGTAATAGGATGGGGATTTCCGCTTCATTTCTTGTTCCTTGTTTGGTTGTGGGCTTAGAGCAGATTCACATAGTTTATTACCTATTCGATCTTAGTTATATATGACCTATATAACTAAGTAATTATAGGGGAAACATGTATGGATCAAGTCGCTATATACAAGTACAGTACACATGTACTATCTTCTAGTATAAAACATACATTTCCTGAAAGAACGTATAACATGGTACATGCATACAAAAAGGGTTGCGTTACAAATACAATCATATTACATTACTTTTCCAAGTACGAGTCAACGGAACTTACATTTCATTACATCAGAAAATATGGGATTTTTTTGGGAGGATATGCTTACATTTCTAAAAGGACCATTATAGTTAACTTTGTAAGTACCTAGTAACGCGTTAGGGTTATATACAATGAAGATCCGACAGACAATGGAATGTGTGATTTCCGCCTCATTTCCTGTTCCTTGTTTGGTTGTGGGCTTAAGGCAGAACCACATAGTCGATTGTCTGTGCAATCCAAATGGTATATAACTAGTGTACACTAAGTACTTGTAGAAGGAACTACCATGGGCCACATTTCTTACTTTACATCACATCAGAAAATATATGATTTTCTGGAAGAACATACCAAGGTTTTCAAGGAGCAAAGAACATACTTTTTCAAAACAAATGCTTATGAACTCACCAACTTTAATCTTGACACTTTCAAAACCACTTGTATTCTCAGGGCACTAGTATCACACAGATTCTAGAAGACGAAGCATAGTAGCTTCAAGTCTTTATTTTGCTAATCACTTTTGGGAGACAATCATATGTGATTCAAATACAATGTAAACACTATATTATTAATAAAATGGTTGTTGTTGCTTTGATTACTATTTTTCAATTGTTGTGATACTATAAATGACGTCCTCTGCCCCCAAATGTTTTCGTCGTTCCGGTTTGGGGGTGTGACACTTAGATTGGGCAAATTTAACTCGATCTCGAGTCATCATTTCAATGAATCGATCTAAGTAGCTTGACTAGCTTACATTCATACATCTAGTGTTCCTACTACTAATATTTTTAATAAATTATTGGTTTAGCTTGACTAGCTTACGTTCATACATCTAGTGTTCCTACTACTAAGATTTTTAATAAATTATTGGTTTTGTACTTTGAATGGGGATTTGTTGAAAAATTTAGGTTTGACACTATTGTGCAAGACTTCAAAGACACAAAGATTAACGAGTTCCTTTTTGATGAATGATATCAGAATATGTCATATTAATTGTTTTGTTTATATTTTTATATGTCATATGCATGGGTGAGCAAAAACCAAACCGTAAACCAAAGAAAATGAAACCGATGATTTGGTTTCTATTTTTTTCATAAACCGAAAATTTCAATTCGTTTTGGGTTTGTAGGATGAGAAAACCGGGAAAAAAAGAACCGAACCAAGTTGTATAAATTTTTCCTAAATATTTTATGTATATATTATAAATAAAATATGTGTTATTTCACCGGAAGTTGTTGCTTGTTCATGTGGTTAAGGCATTGAGCCTTTATGAGTAACATCTTCAATTTGAGTCTTGTTCTATACATATTCGTTTTTATTTTACGAGTTAGTGGATACATCCCACATCGATGCCAAGATAAAAGCTCTGCATTTTCATCATCTAAATAAGGGATTGCTTGCTTT